AAATTTAGGTATGGGAATAGCTTCTGGATCGGTGAACAGGGCAGAGTGTGTAAGCTATGTAGAGCAGCGAGGGAGACAGTGGTGCATTTGTTAAAAGAGTGCACAGAGTTGAAAGAGAGAGATGAAAGTAGAGAGGAAATTTTGACCGACAATCGTTTAGGTGTAGGTTGGATGAAAGAGATATGTAGGGCTAGGGAAATAATTATGCAGAGGAGAGACGGGAGGGGAAAGTAAGGAAGCAACAAATTTGGTTTGTTTGTAATATAAGAGTATCTTTATGTTTATAATTATACGGGAATTATTTAAATTTTCGTATATAGTTTTTCCTTTTTTCGAGTTCCTCTTTGCATTCTTCAACGAATCACTGATTTGTTCTTTGCCTCTGATAACTACACAATTTTCTTCTATATTACGTCCCATAGCTCTCGTACCTTTTCTTTTCTCTGTATCACATGTAATGATTCTAGCTCTATTTCTTTTGTCTACTTTCCCTTCTAATCTTACTCCCCTTTTTGTATAGTCCTTGTATGTTAATTTTTTCTCCTACTTCGGCATTATTTAAGTCATTTTTGCCCCTACCATAAAATGATCTGACCCCGGGTCTAACCTTTTTTAGAACCTAACATCTTTGTCCTTTCTCTTCAAGTAATATATCGTCTATCTGATTCACAACTCTACCGCGGGGAGTTTTCAGGTCTCATTTGGTATTTTCTTCTTCTTAAAATATGTCTTGCAAAATTCACCAAAAAGTTCTCATTTTCATTCGTTTCCTCATGGCTACTATACTTACCTATCGTAGGCCTAAATTCTTCTTTACTAGCCATACGGGCACTTGTACCGCCCAAAACTAAATATATAGGGATTTTCAGACCGTATTTTTGTATTTTGTCAAACTCTTAAGTTTATATATAGACACACTTAAGAAGAAACGAATATCTAAATCTAATAGAGGGATATTATTCGTTTGATCTCCTGATATCTTCTTCGTAGAATTTTTAGCTATGTATTCGCAAAACTGAGTACCCTTAAATACCTTTTTATTACTTATGTGTTGATAATAGAGACAATCTTGTAAAATACACATTTTTTTTTGTAGGAGTTATTTATATACTGATTTCCATAAAAATCCGAACACCTTGGATTAGTTGACTGATAAAACTTAAAGTTTCACCAAATGTGCATTAAATCGAACCCAATAAATGGTTAAAATATAAAGCCTAAAACTTGTGAAATAAAAAATTTATTCAATAATGTGTGGGCCCACCGTGATTTTTAATGCACTCATTTACTCGGCGAGGCATGCTTAAAAGAAGATGGTTTATGGTGTCCTGTGGGATCTCGTCCCAAACTTTCTGAAGCCGCATACGAAGGTCATTTAAATTATTCGGGGGATGCTGCAAGTTACGTAGGTAGAGGTGTGCCCATGATATTCCACACATGTTCGATTGGTGACAAATCTGGTGAACGAGCCGGCCAGGGGAGAACTTCAGCATTATTTTGTTGAAGGTACTCCGTTGTGACTCTTGTCGTATGTGGGCGTGCATGGTCTTGTTTAAATAGGGGTCGATCTAACCCTCTGAGGTAAGGAACTGCAATCGGCTCCAGTACTGTAGCGATGTATCCTCTTGCATTGAAATTTCCCTGGATGAAAACTAGAGGGGACCTGCCACCCTGCGTTATTGCCCCCTAAACCATCACGCCTTGTGTGAGAGCTGTATGGCCTTCAACAGCGAGATTCAAATTTCGGTGTTCTCCACGTAATAGCCTCATACTCCTACGCCCATCGTGAGCCCAAAGACAAAACCGGGATTCGTCTGAGAACACTACCCAATTCCATTCGTGGTCCCAATTTGCTCGCTCGTTGCACCATTGCAACCTACGAGCGCGATGTCTTGGTGTCAATGGGAGGCACCGAAATGGTCGATATGAACGCAACCCAAATGATCTTACTCGGTTCGGATAAAAGGATGACATGGAGATCCAACGTACCCATCCAATCAGTTGTAATTGCATGAGTGATAGAACGCCTGTCTCGTAGGGCTGCAATTCGTAGATGACGATCTTCGCGTGCTGACGTTCTTTGAAGTCGACCAGATCCACGAATTCGCTCATGCACTCTTTCCTCAGACAACCTCCTCCAACACTGCAACACCGGGAAACACTACGGCCTATACGGTCCGCAATTTGCCGGCTTGTCTCATACCAACAATGCGGCCTTTTTTAGATTTACTCATTTGATGAAAATGAACCGGCTCAGGACGTCTTGGCATTTTTCACTTTGTTTCCTAAGCGATAGCTCTAAAATTTTCTCCACGACTAACGCAAATCAACTAACAAAGCAAAATTCTGCTAAACGAAACGTTGTTTTCAAAAGGTAAGAAGGGTAAAATAACGTTAATGGTTTTTGTTGAAATTTTAATCATTTCTTCCATGACTGTCCGCATATCGGATCCGATAATATCAACAAAATGGCTCAACGCCTTCAACGTGTTCGGATTTTTATGGAAATTAGTATATTATCGTAATCTCCAAACTTTCTAAGCAGTGAGATGATTTGTTTAGTATTACTGAAAGAAATAATTTTACTCTGATATTCAATTAACTTATTTTAGAGTTCGCAAGCTGCAAGATCAGACTAGTAACAGATTGCTTGTCCTTAATTACAGAGATGTTCGACACTTGTGCGAAGATACTAGAGTAAGAAGAAGTTACAACAAAATAATTGAAGTTGTTTTATTCTTTCACTTTTGTAGTAAAACTTTGTTGATTAGCTGAATGATGTCTTCTGGAAAAACAGACTCTTAGTTTCTGTAAACCATTAAGTGATACAGAATGTTTTTCTCAGATACATAATTTTCTCCTAAGATCTGCTCCTGCTTCAGTTAAAACAACTAAATCGTCCTCCTAGTCTCCGTCGTGCTACCGACAACAACATTACAAATGTGATCTAAAGAAGGTTTCATTTGCTAAGATGAAAACCGAGAAAAGTGTGACACTCACAGATTCGACCAGATGACACAGAACTGAACCAACGCGAACATAAGATGTTGCCTACTCATCCAAAGATTTGATAGTCCGATTGATATGGGAGCTTACACTTATCGACAAAGAATGGAAGGACTTTCCAACCTGTCAGGAGCAGTTGTCTGACTTTCGGTTGAATCATTCAATTAACCTTGACAGATAACAATTTATATAATATAATTTAGATAGATGTGTCGATTATTTATTAAAGAGCAAAAGATTTATCAATAACATTTTGAGCTCTAACAAAAATTTGGTTGGTATTTATGCACCTTATAGTGCACTTCGCAGTAATAAAAAAAATACCATTGTTACATAGATGATAAATAAAAATAACGGAAAGTTGTTTTCGAATGCTATGGACATTAAATTAGTCATTCAGCCGAAACACGCTCACACAATATTTTCCTTTATTATCGCCGAGAAATAAAAGTTGTTGACATTCAATTTGTAGGTTAGTATTAGATACTATTATTTGATAGTTACAGATAGTAGTAAAACAATAAGATAATAATCGAGTGAACCAACATTTTGTTCACCCACTATGTGGAGAAGACAAATTCTCTTACAAATTATTGTCAGTTTTGTAAAGAACTGCACAAACTTCATGGTTGTTGGCTACTGTTTTGAATATATGGAGTGATATTTTAGATCTGAAATAACCCTTATGTGCAGATATGGCAGCTGATGTAAAATTTACTACAAACTTAAACACTTTAAATACGTCTCGGTTTTCAAGTATTTTCTATTGACTTCTAGATTAGTGTATTAAGTAAAATGGAAAAGTTCTAAACCCACTACCATGACAAACAAGTATGAGAAAATATTACACTTCCAGATTACAATTATTAACACATATTGCTATTATTTTAATACTTAAAAGTGTGCTAAGACCACTGAGGAGATTTTTGTCAAAAAGAAATGACGTTTGAGATTCTAGAATGACATAATTTATCACCACATTACTGACAAGTGGCCTAAAAATCCTAATCTACTCTGCTTGATGCTAATTTAGTCTCTGCAACATGATAAGACGACTGTTCGAGAAACTAATATTAGCATCATTATTATTGTTGACCACCCCTACAGATAAACCAATTATTAGGGTGGTATATTAGGGTTAACTTAGATTGTTGGAAATGCATAATTAAATAGTTAAAAATTAGGAGACTGTTATAGATGTGCATTTTTGATCTGGCGTAAACTACAATTGAAGATATCAAATTTATTCCGATAATTATTATAAATTCTGCACATAGTTGTAATGGGCGAGAACACATGTACATTAGTTCTAGAAATTTCAGTATAAAAACATAAAGGGTTTCTAATGTTTGACCGGGGAACTAGAAAGCATAATTTTTCAACTAAAGCACTTGAATTTACAACACCATTCACCAATTTAAAAAGAAAACAGAGAGACAAAGTTTCTCTCCTCTTTTCCAAGCTTTGAATGGAAAAGAGTACCAAAAGCTCATTTTGAGGAAAACCTCTACAAGGGTAATAGCCAAATGATTTGAAATGGAGGAATTTTAAAAATTTCCTTTGTAACTTTTCTAATTTGAGACAATGAACATCGTACCCTGGGGACCAAATAACACAACCATGCTCTAGTTTTGATCTAACAAACGAAGTATACAAACTAAGGAGAGTACTATTAAGTTGAAAGCTTATGCAATTACGAATGCTAAATCCTAACGCCCTAATTGATGAGGAAAATATCTCATCATAATGATTAATGAAGGATAATTTTTGATCAAATATAATGCCTAAATCTCTCACAGTGGAAACACGTTTCAAAATGAAGCCGCCAATTTTATAGTCATATATACTATTGATATGCTTTAGAGAATATGTCATTACACTACATTTAAGAAGATTCAGCGACAACCCTTTTACATTGCATGCTTGTTCTAATTTATAAGGATCAGCTTGAAGGAGAAGGTGGTCAGAAAATGTTGTTATTTTTCTAAAGATTTTTAGGTCGTCAGCATATAGAAGACACTCAGAGCTAAAGCCGATACTAATGTCATTAATAAACAAAATAAAGAACAGAGGTCCAAGAATGGACCCTTGCGGTACACCAGAAGTAACATGTACCTCAGTTGACTGAAAACCGCCAATGGTAACAACCTGTGTCCTGCCAATTAAATAAGAACTAAACAGTTTAATTAGGAAATCTGACATACCAAAACTATCCAACTTGGCAATCAATTTAGAGTGGTCTAATCTGTCAAATGCTTTAGAGAAATCAGTGTATATACAATCCACCGTACATTTAGCATCAAAAGACTCGGAAACAAACTGAGTAAACGTACAAAGATTTGTTTCTACAGATCTGCCATTGAGAAAACCATGCTGTAAATCAGATATATAAGGCCTAACATGCCCGATAATAACATCATAAAGCAACATTTCGAATACTTTGGAAAAATTGCAGAGCAAGGTTATGGGTCGATAATTTTCGATTACATTTTTGTTTCCATTTTTGAAAACTGGACATATATTCGACTGTTTCCAAATGGACGGGTACTCACACTGTTTAATTGCTAGACTGAATATAGCACATAGGGGAGAAGCAAATACAGTTGCACAGTCGCTTAACATGAACGAGGGTATGCCGTCAGGACCAGCTGTTGTTTTGTTTTTCATTTTCCGTAGGGCATTAAATACTTCAGATTCATTAAACGATTTGATTAACAAAAGAGGACAATTTGAAGAAGACATAGTTACAGATGGATTAGAAAGAATAAAAGATTTTTGAAAAAAGTCAGCAAAAGAGTTGACAATGTCTTCCGGTCGACTTAGTAGTTCATTGTTATAGGTCATCAGTTTAGGTATACTATTGTCTTTTTTCTTACTATGAATAAAGCGCCAAAAGCTGCTAGGATCAGATTGAATGTTGTTTTCAATTTTTTGAATATAATTGGCAGAGGCATGTTGAATATCTGCTTTGACCTCAGTTCTTAGGATTTTAAAATTATCATAAGATTGCAAATCAGAATGTCGTTTGTAACGTGTCCATAATTTCCATTTTAGTTTTAGTTTAGAAATTATTTTAGCATCAAACCATGGAGGATATTGACGTTTTTTAAAGCGTTTAGTCTTAGGAACAGAAATGTCAAAGATCTCATATAATTTTGCATAGAACTGCAAGCACATGGTATTTACATCAGTATGTTTAGACATGAAAGACCAGTCAGTATTACAAAGCAAGTTGTACAAAAGTGAAAAATCAGCTTTACAAAAGTTAAAAGATTTTAATCCGGGATTATGCAAGGGCTTGTCATAGAACATTTTCGTTATAATTAAATTATTTAAATTAATTACTAAGCTCGGGTGATGGGAGTCTTCAGTTAATAAAATATCAACTGCTGCATTGACAGTGGTTTGTTTATTTGAAATAACCAAATCCAAAATTCTTCCACTATTATTACGTACAAAGTTATGCTGATTACAGTCAGTCAAGTCGAGAAAATTTAAAAGTGATTCTGTTTTAGCATCGCGTATCAAGGGGTTTGCTAGAAAACTAGAGTAAGAGGGTATATTGAAGTCACCAACAATAATGATTCTATCATGTAATAAAGTATATAGAGAGCATAAAAGTTCAAAGAACAAATCCATATCAGCTGCACTAACTCTGTTGGCCGGAGGGATATATGTATACTACAATAAAATAAACAATACTGTGACCTATAAAAATCTTGACCACAAGAATATCTATTACAAGTAAATCACTAAAATTTAAGTTATTTAAATCATATTTATACGAGGCAAAATTTGATTTAACCTCAAGAAGGACACCACCACCACGTTGACAATGAACATCTGAATATTTTCTGTCACTCCTATAGATTGTGTAATTATTATTAGAAATTTCTGAGTTATGGACAGAGTCGTTTAAAAAAGTTTCAGAAAAAGCAATTATGTCATAATGGCAGCTAGCCAATGCATTATATATTTCCGGGAGTTTGGTGTTTAAACCCCTAACATTTTGGTAGTAAGCAACTGGAGTAAGGGAATCATGCATTGAATTACAGGTGTTCATGTCACACGAGTAGCGGGGTATTGTTGGACTATCAGGGAGGAAAAGAGGACAAACATTTGATTGCTATATGGAAAGTCCAAACAAATCTTGTTTGACTTTTTGAATGACCATCTTGTACGAATGACATTTGTCATGATCCCAAGCTGCGTGATTAATATTAACGTCATGATTATTATTTTTGAGATTGAAGTTGTAACAATTGACACATTTAAAAGCTTCAACATCTGCCTGGCATTCCTTCAAATTATGACGATGAGCACACCGAGGACAAGAAGAAGAATTTTTACAAAATTTGTGTGAATGACCATAGCTGTTACAATTAAAACATCTGGAAACGTCAATAGCATCGTATATAGTGCAACCATTGAGACCAACAAGGCAGTGTCCCAATGTTAGTGCCCTTTTATATGTCAACAAATCCACTTCAAAAACAGCTTGAAAAATGGTATTATTTTTTTTAACCGGGCCATATTTTAACAAAGTACAAATTGATTTTTCGTCAAAGATTGATTCATTTTGTTTTCTCATATATAAGGTAATGTCTTCTTTTTTTATGTAGTCAGGAATACCTGTAATTCTAACTCTTGGGCCAATAGTCTTGACTTCACGAATATCATACTGGTCTGACAGGTTATTCATGGCGCTTTGTTTAAAGTTACTAGAACTGCCACACTGCAGGAGCACACCACCATCTTTTAGATTTTTCACTTTCCCAATATTGATGTCCGTAAGAGGATCAACATTTTTTAAAACGTCTGATTTAGTTTTAGCAATTGACTGATTTTTCTGATTTTCACCCTTTGGCTTAACTATAATAGTTTTCTGAGAGTTTTTTATCAAAGTTTGGGCATAAGATGATTTAGCGTGCATTTCATCAGCATCAGCTGACATTATCTGATCACAAGGTTTAGAGGCGGGTAAGCATTTTTTTAAAATGATTATTTCATTACGCAATTTTGAATTTTCAAGAGATAAATTATTAACTGATTTTTCTAACATCGAAATAGTGTCAGTTAATGGTTTCAATTGGTTTCCAATGATTGATTCGATCATTTTCAAAGAATGAGGAGACAAATTAAGTTCAGAAACTAAAGGAATGGATTGAGTATGAGAAGCAGCAGAGGCAGAGGCAGAAAGTGAACAAAAATCACACAACCAGGATGTTAATTTTCTTTCCATTTGAAGCTGATCGTAAGCATCATCATCAATGTTAACACATTCATTGTGAAAATTCGATTTACAAACATTACAGGACAAATAGTTCTGACTTCTAGTTACGGTGCTATTGCATTTACTGCATTTTATAGCCATTTTCGACACTCGCAAGTGCTGAAATCACACTGCGGCCAGTTTGGGGTCAAGTAGAAGATAAGCAAATTCTGCCAAAAAAGTCGACGATAAGAAAAACCAATAATAACGAACTCAATCAAAATGTGAAAGTCGGAAGGAAACATAGAACATGTTTCCTTCGACAAAAATTAACAAACCAATCTATTCGTCAGTATATATAATTATTTAGATTCAGGAGAGGCTCAAATCAATATGGAACAAACTCACCTAAATGATTCGAATGTACGGAGCGACAAAATGCACGTCTACACTCTGCTAGCACACGATTATAATGTGTGCTAGCAGAGCACGCATTATCAATATCATCCTCATTATTGTTCTTATTGGTACAGTGGACGTAAACATTTTGTGCGTTTATGCCTTCACACCAATTTAAATCCCATTATAATTCAATAGGCCCTCACAGCCGGATGTCTTACCGCTAACCTACCTGAAAAGAGCTTTTCTGGTAAAAGCACAGGATAGTACTGTCTCGGCCGTCCCTGACACGTGCCATGGTTTGCATTTGCTAAGTTTTATGAAGGATCCGCTGTAAAATACTTTAAACGTCAAAGCCATAAACGCACAATATGTTTACGTCCAGTGTACTATCGCCTTACAGATGAAAGCATTATTACTCATAAACTCATAAACAAAAAACAACGTTTTCGCGTTATTTTTGTGAGCAAATTTTATGAGAGAATTTTAAATAAACAAGGATTAAAATTTTGCTAACTGTAACTTTGCCGTTTAAAGTGCGAATTTAAAGTGGAACAGTAGTATAATAATTTTACAAATATCCCAACAATCATATTCCACCAATCTCATCTATTATTTATTCATATTACATCGTGATCAGTGTCTGCAATAATATCTTGTTATTAAAATATTACAATGTTAACATCTTAAAGAAATAAAATTTATCTTTAGATAAAAAAAAACGGCGAGTTGAAAGCTGTTAATTTACACACTTTTACACTTGTGCACTTGTATATTTGTTAACAGATCTTATAACGTTGTTCCAGTCATAAAAAATTGAATTATTCATAAGGTGTGGCTGCATTATTATAATAATTTACCGGTATAAATCGAAGATTATACGTATTAAAAAAAATTACCCGCTTTTTATATTACACCGAATACATAATAACAGTTGTTTTTATACCATAGAGGAACACGCCGCTATTACGATAACAATAACGTTAATTGCAGCCGCATAATAAAGCACGGTTTACACGTCGTGAAAAATGCGATTACGAAGTACAAGCAGTTGACGCAGTGACACCTGGTAAAAAACGCACCGCAGATAATCGATTTTGTTTCCTGTGTTACAAGTCACAAAGCGTGAGAACGGCTTTATTATGGATCGATCGCTCCTGCTTATACGCCGTCTACGTCCTACGTTAATTAACCGAACAGATTACTGTTATTATTCCAGATAAATATGATTTCACAAGTGCAGATCTGTCGTAAATCCGCTTTTGTTAGAAAATTCTGAAAAATCCAACGAATTTCCTAATAAAGATCGTATCGGCTGTCATACGGTTCTTTTAACAGATTTCAGCTGTCACGCGGAATTATTATTGGCCAATTTGCGTACATCGCGCACTAAATCAGTCTTATCGGTGAGTTTCGGCGAGAAATAAAGAAAAGTGGGTGATACAACCGTCAACGTGGGTGTGAGGATGATGATGACCGGTCGAGGTAGGCAGCGGCCGACAACGTATCGGAACAATCTTGACTGTCAATCGACAGTGGCCCACTGAGACCTGTCAGTAAATAAGATGACGATATGTCTAAATGAATGTGATGGAGGAAGGTAGAGATGCTATTGTGTTGGAGGCTAATAAATTCACTGCTTAAACACTAGCAGTGAAAAATTGTGGTCGATTAATACTGTGACATTTAGGTGTAACACACACGGGTGTATTATTTCTCGGGAAAAAAATAAATTTAATGCCATATTAAATAAAACTCAGCAGATACTATCTCAAATGCACTATAAACGTAAAAGCGTAATTACACCAGTTCTTGTTCG